CTTCCATCAGTTTAGGAGCTCAGTACTGCAGGACTGCAGCAGCATTTGGTTTTAGCATCCACTCCAAACAGGCAAGGTGTTGTAACACAGGAGCTGTTTTTAAACTATGCAGACAGCACATGAGAAGGCAGTCCGGGCTCCAAGTACAGAAGGACTAGTTCTGTTAGAAAAGCACCTTTCAACAGTCTTTTATTTCCTTACTCTAGTTTGTTTTCTTTAGAAGGTCCAAGTTTTTATTTGAAATGCTTTAACTGGATATCCCAGTTACAGATTTGACAGTTTGTTTACAGTTCACATCTGCCTGAGGGCAGTTGAAGGCACGTTACAGGGTAAGTGAGGTAGTTTTGCTGCCAGGAGAAGGATGTGCTGGTAGGATTACTGAGGTTAAAAAAAAAAAGATGAGCCAGGGAGAATGACATAGCTGGAATTGTACCATGGGTCTGTAATTTTATTCTTTGGGAACTTACAGTAGTATACCTTCTTCTCTTCTCCTCACCACTCACTATTTTAACTTAAAGAGATGAAAATGCTGTGCGTGGAAGATAAAAATACAGCTGGAAGTACTGGCAGAAAAGGCTTAAATTCTTTTAATTGACAGCAAAACTAACTAACTTCTATTAAAAATATTTTTTAAAAACATGAAATGGTACTGTAGAAATCCCTTTCCCCACTGGCTAGGGATTTAGGTGCCAAAACAAACACCTCACTCTTAGATGGCTGAATTTAAGTAGGATGAATCCGCTGAATCAACGAAAACAAGCCCATCAATTTTGGCGAGTTTAAGGTCAGGCCTTTTTGCTTTCTGGTTACAAAGCTTTTGTGTTTCCATTAATTGATTGGCAGACTTGGACCTTTACATGTGGCAGGGGAGATGCAAGGAGCATTCTGCAAAAGGAGCAGTTTGACATGTGTTCCTGTGCCATTTCCCTGCATGTTTCTAGCCTTCTGCTTGGCTCTCTTCCCTCTTGCTAAGCACGGCTTTCCGTGGGGCGCTGCTGCCAGCCTCTAACCCAGCCCACTGCAGTGGCAGGAGATGTTAGATGTTGTGCTTTTCCCCTTTTTAATAAGGGATCCTGTAGCTGCGTGTGCCACAGCCCAGGCTGTGGGACCCAGCACTCCCTGCCAAGGAGGGAAGTACAACTTCCCTCTGCAGGATGACTCTGAGCCGTGCCCTGGGGAACCACGCTGCCGGGCTGGCGAGGCTGCAGCGTTGTGCTGAGTTTGCTGAGGGCTGCTGAGAGCCAATGCTTCAGGCAGAAAATGTTCATTGAAAATGCCCACCTTAAACGTTAGCTGAGTTCCCCAGGATAGAATTGAAAGTTGTCTTAGTAAATATACGACTTTAGTAAATATACTACTTCAGTAAATATACGACTTCAGGTCGAATTCTGCTTTCTTTACTGCAGCAAAGCTCTCACCACCGTCAGGCTGCAAAGTTAGTCTCTTTTGAATAAATTTGCCCTAAGAGGAAAAATAACCATGTATTTCTGGGGAAATAATACAAGGCTCAAAACGCTGGGGAGATTCTTCCACACTGTGTCTACAGAAAAAGTTGAGTAAGTTGTTCCAAGCAGGCTTAAGTCAGAGGTCCAGCCCATGCTGTTGGTGTCTGCTGCTTCCCGGGGTGCTGGGGCGGCCGAGCCCAAGGGAGGGCAGAGGGTTACTGCCTGCCTGAGCCCTGACATCAGGTTAAACAAAGACCAGGCTTTCAGTGCAATGAGTGACATGTAGCAGCCTGCTGAGATGTTGGAGATATCAGGATACAGATTTATTATTTTTTTCTTTTCAAAGCACATGGCTGTTAATACAAAGAGTTTAGTGTAGATACTGACAATTAAGCCTAATTTATGAAACTGGGACACTCCTTGCCTGAAGTTACTTCTGTTTTTTAGAAATTGACATACTGTCACAGAGGGGCTTTTCCTTACATGTTTTTGGTTATTTAGGGGACTGCTGACCTCACTTTTCTAGACCAGTGCACTGAAGCTTTGGGAGATCATAGGGAAATAGCAGTTTGAGATAGATTTTTGTCCTTTGAAATGATGTTTATTGAAATGATGGAACTACCAACTGCTTTTGAGGTGTACAAACCAAATGTGACTTGTAAGTAAACCCAATGCCATTGCACCAAGCATTAATTTGGTCCCGGGTGCAAATGCCTCTAAAACAATAGGGTAAAATATTCACAGGTGCCTGAGTCCCACTAAGGATCAATAGGAGTCTATAGGTACCCAGCTGATGTAGGTGCCTTTGAAAAACTTACCCTGGAAGCTGTTTAACCAAAACATAAAAGAAGCTGTGGCGTGTCATATGCATGCCTGTGGCATACAAAAAGTGTGTCACACCTGCTTTCTGGTTGTGGTGTGTGCCCTAGGCTGAGCCACAGCACAGGGTGTACAGCCAGCCCAGGCTGAACCACTCTAGAAGAGGTGTGTGACACGTTTGCTCAGCTCACAGATGCGGCTTTCTCACAAAAAACTGCAGAAACATAGTGATTTGAGGACTGACCTGGTTCTTCTTCACACAGGGAACGCCTCCTGAAGTTCAGCAGTTTTGGTTGCATAAGGCATCAGGAGCAGGGGCAATGTTTGGATCTTGCCTACAGAGAAGAGAAAGTACTGTCTAGGGAAGCCCAGCAGAATTTTAAAGAGGACTAAGGTTCTTGCTCTCATCTTGCCCATGCTGCTTGCTTCTTCTTTAGTTTTGCCCCATTTTCTCTGTAAGCAGGGAACCTCAGTACCTGTGTTTGTTCCAGTGCCCTGATGAGGACATGTTATAAGAAATTGCCTGTAATTTTTCTGTTGCCCAGCCTTTTATTACCCATAGGTGTCAGATGACTCTGTTTACAGTCAGAAGAGCACTCCCTAAACATTTAGGCCAGAGCATAATTTCAGGATCCTCTTGCATAGTTAGCAACTAGAAGGAGCAGCATAAAGAGCCATGGGCACGTGAGGACAGTTCTGCTCTTAGCACATGGTTTGCAAGTCTACCAATTATGCTTCACCCAGTGTCCTAGATGTTGAGAGGGCTTTGACTGTCTCATTGAGCAACATAGAACTTGAACTACAGAGATGATCCCTGCTGAAAACATAGGAAATGGAGAAGAGTTTATCCTGTCTTGTCTTTGTTGGTGGACAAGGGGTAACAGTTTAAAACTGGAAGAGGGGAGATTGCGATTAGACATTAGGAGGAGATTCTTCACTATGAGGGTGGTGAGACCCTGGCACAGGTTGCCCAAGGACATTGTGGAAGCTCCATCCTTGGAAGTGTTCAAGGGCAGGTTGAATGGGGCTCTGAGCAACCTGGTCTAGTGGGAGGTGTCCCTGCCCATACAGGGGAGTTGGAACTAGATGATCTTTAAGGTCCCTTCCAACCCAAACCATTTTGTGATTCTATGATCTTGGGCACAGACCTTCTCAATCTTCAACAGCATTGAGATCCCCTTGCTGGCAGGCAGCTTTCCATTGAGCACAGACGTGTGCATTCTTGGAATGCAGGGTGTTTGTGCAACTACCTCTGTATAATAGTAGAGTTCTTACTCAGGGCTTAGGGAATATCTCAATGTGGAAAAGCAGACACACAAAGGGGAACAGTCCAATAGAAAAAAAAAAAAAGTGTGTGTAAATATGTGTGTGTACTGGTAATTTCCAGGAGCTTTGAAATTTCATTACTGTTTATAGCTCAAGGCAATGAGAAACATCTCCTACGTGTAGTGCGTAAATAAATGCAGTGCACTCAGCCCTCTGCAGATATGTTTATCTCACTTCAACATTATCCTTCATGGTGCCTGTAACCTCCATAAATACCACAAGAAGTGAAATGGCTTGCACGATAATTAAAACGCTATTTCTGCTGAGAGTCATGTGTGTGTGTCTGTCCCACGCCTTTTCTCCTTTGCCAGAGGAGCTCTGCGCATGGGCACGTGCTGATGCCTGCACACAGGTGACAGCAGCTTTGAGCACAGGGTTTTGCTGTTAGCTGTGCTCAGGCTGACAGGATTGTCAGGTTCATTAAGGGAATGCAGAGGCAGAGTGGCTGGATTTCTAGAGTGGAGGTTTGGTAGCAGTTTGTGCATGGTCATAGCACAGAGCATTCCATACTGTGTCCTTTAGCCTGTCTGTGCCCTGGTGACTGCAGAGTCCACCTGCCAGTAAGTCCTTTCAGACCTTTCACAGAAAGTGAGGACTAAAGGCAAGACAATAGATATGGTCTCATAGAGAAGACACTGTATATGATGAGAAGTGGAGAGGTTTGGATCCTGGCTCTTGTGGTGTGCCCTTCTGCAGGGCATCTGGTCTGCCCACCTCTATGATGGCTGAAAGAAAAGCAGGGGCAATTTATTTATTTATTTTTTTTGCCTGTTGTGTTGAGAAGGAACTAAGGGAGAGAGTCCAGCACAGAGCCACTAAGATGATTTAAGGGACTGCAGCATCTGCCCTGTGAGGAAAGGCTGAGAGAGCTGGGTTGTTCAGCTTAGAGGAAAGGAGGCTGAGGGGGGATCTCATTAATGCTTATAAATATCTAAAGGGTTGGTGTCAGGAGGATGGGGCCAAACTCTTCTCAGTGGTTTCCAGTGAGAGAACAAGGGGCAGTGGTCACAAACTGGTAAACAGGAGGTTTAACCTGAGTGTGAGAAAATACTTCTTCACTCTGAGGATAACAGAGCACCTGAACAAACTGCCCAGGGAGGCTGTGGAGTCTCCATCCCTGGAGACATTCAGAACCCACCTGGACGTGTTCCTGTGTAATCTGCTCTAGGGGATCCTGCTCTAGCAGGGGTGTTGGACTAGATGATCTCCAAAGGCCCCTTCCAACCCTGACCATTCTGTGATTCTGTGAGATTTCAATTTCTCTGGCAATGAGACAACATCCTGTTGCACATTCGTGCAACACTTTACTGGCTAGCGGGCCTGGCCTTGGCTGGCGTGTTGGGGGGCTGACAGGCTTCAAACAGATGACATGATGGTCACCCCAGATCTCTCTGCCTGTTTCTCGTTTAGCACCTGAACAATGCCTGGGAGTTGGCGTCCTGCGGGAAGGTGGAGGATCAGATGGCCCTGCCGGATCAGGCGCGCAAGTACATGGCCGCCTTCCCCACCCGGACTCTGGTGATGTGACAGGGTCGGCGGACAGAGAAGCATTATGGTTTTGAGAACACTTCACCTCTGCTGGGAAATTCCTGTTCCTCTGCATGAAGACTTTTCATGAATGGGAGAAGAGCCTATCTTTGTTGTGGTACAACAGTTGGGAGCAGCACAAAGTGCATTTAGTCACTCAGCATATATATACTTGTTGGATTTCACCCAACTTAAGAGGATTTTTTTTTTTTAAATAAATGATACTTGCCTAAATTATTAGGTATTAAGTTTGAATCAGTAATTAATGATCTTAAGTGCAGACTTATACTAAAGATAATTTTTTTGTACTTTTTAAGATCAAGCAGACCTGATACACCAGTATTGTTATTTCAGTGATGTGCTAGCCAGGGGTGGGGTTTTGTTTGATTCTTTTTTTTATTTTTTATTTTTTTTTTAATAAAAAGAGCAGGTACTCAAACAGATATATTTTAAATCACTGAACAAAATGCATTGGTGTAAAATACTGAAGCAAAAAGCATTACTACAAACCCTAGTCTGTGCAAAGGGCAAAACTGATCAAGATTGTGAATGCTCAAAACATCCATGCCTCTTGAAATACTTTTTCATTCTGTTGTGGTTCTACACCATTATACATCGTGTGTTTCTGTTTGGGGGGGAGGGGGTCATTAGCTTGCTTTAAAAAATATTACTGTATGAAACATAGATTTATGAGAAAAAAATTATATTTTTATTCAGTAATTTAATTTTGTAAATGCCAAATGAATACTGTGTTTTGCTGCTACAGACCTTAGCGTGTAGACATGCTGCTAGTGTAAAAGGAGCAGTAGAGCTTTATATGGAAAGAAAACAAATGTTGATGTTAGCTAATTGACTATGCACTAGCATTTCAGACCTTTGTATTTTAATTTTTTTTTTACAGCATTTATATTTTTCCCCTTTTTTTATGAGCAATATTTTTGAACACTGTTCCTGGGAGATTTTTTTTTTTTTTTTGTCTGGATATGTTGTTTTGTTCCTCATTGGTTTATAACAGCATGCATTGCACCTTCATATGTTTGGGAGAACACTGTCTCGTTCATGTTGTCTGTTTTGTTCCATGTCTAGCTAATTGTTCCCTAACTTGGGTCTTGTGTACTGAATCAGGTTCTTAGAAATACATGGTTCTTTGTACTGCCATACCAAATCTTTATTGATATGGCAAAACATTGATTTTATTTTATTTTTTTATTGTCTTTTTTTATATATATATAACAGCCTCTTTGCTGCCTTAATAGCATTTGGTGCAGCTTTACCTGCACTTAAATTTTTTTATACGACAATGTACTGCCTTGTAGATAAATAAAGTGTGTTCTTTTTTACTTACACAAGCATGGTCTAATCTTTTTTGTCTTTAGTGTTTTGGCAGTGGTGTTACAGGCAACAATCAAGCCAAGAGGTTTTTTTCTGGCACACTTTTAAGTAAGTAAGGAGTAGCACATCATAGGTAGTCTCAACACCCTCAGTTCTCAATGATTATTGAGCTGGAAGGAGCACAGCACAAACCAGCAAGCATTTAGCATCTTGTGGACTGGAGGCACATCTCTAGTGACACTGAAGTTTTGTGCAAAACTGCTGTTCTACCCAGATACTGGATAATTTTGTTCCTATCTAAGATAAGATGCAAAATATTCTGGAGTCCCTAGACTGTAGAACAGATTTTTTTTTTTTAGGCTTGTCTTAAGAAACTGGAGGTTAGGATATACTTTGAAACCTGGCATGTTAAATTTGCTCTGCAAATAATTATACTGCAGAGCCTCATGCAGTATAAGCACTGAGGGCATTCAGCCCCAGAACACTGGAGACTAAAAGCAGTCGCCAAAAAAACAAACCAAAACAAACACACACACACACAGAAAGATGCAACCTGCCAGGAAAAAAACCCAACATTTTGATTTGTAGTTTGAAAACAATTTTGCTGACATTTAAGTTGATGCAAGCACTTCAAAGTCACACCGATAATTCTTGAGAGCAGGCTTCAAATCTGTGGAGAAAATAGTAACAATTTCCAAGTTTCTGTAGCCACCCCTTGTGGGCTGAGAGCCCCAGGAGTGCCTTCCAGGAAGTTTTACACCTTTCTCACCAGCCTGCCCAGTTCTCCCAGCTACGCTGTGCACAGAAAAGGAGGAACAAGAAGGCCTTTTCCAGCCTCTGCAAGGTCACTTCTGGTGTGCTTACGGCTTCCAGTGTGAGAAGGGATTGGTGCCTGCAGCAGCCCCTTCCATGTGTTGCCTGTGTTTCCCATCTGCTCCCAGTTGTGGTTTGGGCTCTCATCAAATGCTGGGGAGCAGGGGGAGAGCCAGCCCCGAGGTGTTTCTGCAGTGGTTGCCACAGGCAGGGCCCCAGCACTGGGAATGGATTACAGAGGAGGGAAAGGCTACAGGAGCACTTGCCTGTGCAAAGGCTGCAGCTTGGGCTGTAAAAATGCTTGTGCAAGAGAAGAGGAAAGACTACAGGACTGGATGGTGTGCAACCTGGGAAGAGGGAAAGGGCTGCCTGTGAGGCATGCCACAGCTTAAGCAACACATTACAGCTTAAAAGAAAAAAAAGAAGAAAAAAAAAAAAAGGAAAAGAACACCAAGCTTACAACAGGTCTTCAAGGCAACAGTCTTCCCTTGTAGAGCTCCAGCTGTAACTGCACCAAGCGTGGCTGAGTTTAAACAGATCATTATCTAGTGCCTGGTGCAGGGCAGTACCAGGATACATGGAGGCTCACCCTGCAGGTGCCCAGCGTAAGGATTGGGGTTTTTTTTCCACTGCACCTTTAGTTGGTTTAAAACCCATTTAAAACATGCAAAACCATTGCAACACATGTCTTGTTGACTGGCACACTTACAGCTAGTACAGAGGAAAATGTTTCTTTTCCCCTCTCTCATTTCATTGAAAATGCAAAACACTCAATAGATTAAGGCCTATTTGCATATGTTTCTGCATGCAGGTGGTGCTCAGCATGAGTGAAGGAAGAAGCTTTATGTGAATGCCCAGGAACCTGATTATTTTTCCTCCACCAATAATACTTGCTAAGTTCCCTTTGCAACAGTGCCACTTCCTACATGGCTTTCTCACACAGATACCCCCATGTGTCCAGTCCATGTTGTTCTTACCATCTGAAATACACTTCTTTCTTTTAGAGGTCCAAGAGCGGTCCTACCAGTCTGTTAAATTCCATCTAGAGCATCAGTCAGGTGAGACCTGTCCTGAGACAGGTCCATGTAGATGGTCTTGATGATCATTATTTGGCCATGCAGTGGTTCTTTGCACAGGTGTATAGTCATCCTGCACCTTTTAAACCTGGAGCAACCTACCAAAACGAAGGGAAAACAAGTCCAGTCAAGTTCTCATTTAATGGAGAGTAGGTATTTGGCTCAAATTCCTATTAACCTTTTTCTTCACTGTAATTATAACTTAATAATGTTGTCAGTGGGAATTCTTTTGATTTCTGAAAAGAATTTAAATTATCATTTCAGCATGTGCCACTAATTAAAAATGAAGAGGCAAAGGAGCCAGGGCAAAAATAAAGGAAAACAGCAGAGCATGAGGTGTTTCCCAGCTAGACCCTGTAATTCTCTAGCTCTTCCTAGTAAAGCACATTCTATGCAGAGTCTCACAGGGTTCAAATCCCACAGGCCTGACCTCTGTGACAGCTATCAGCCTAAACTGACAAAGTGCCAGAGCTTGGAGTGATTTGGGAAAAAAAATATTACAGATTGAATGAAAGAGACAGACTTCATAGTTAGGAGCCAAAGTAATAAGTCTGCTGAGGGTAAAGCATAGAGGACAGCATTTAATATTCTGTAGCACAGAGTGATGCTTCAAAAAAGCCAGAAGAAAAAAGCTTTTTATCAGTATTTGCAATCTTGATCCATATCCAGGCCAGAAGAGTCAAGGGCTTCCAACCCTCTGCAAGTCCACACAGTCAGGCACGTAAGCAAAGCATGTTTCTGTAGGGTTGTGACGGGAGTGTCATAATCATCACCTCCTCTTACTCCTGCCATATTTAATTATATTACTACCTAAGCCCTGATGTGAGACGGGTGATGGCAAAGGCCAGAAAAAAACCCTTGTTCCTAAAAGTCTATTTAAAATGCTTGTTTGGGTTGGGTTTGGGTTTGTTTTACTTTCTTTAAAAATCATGTTGAAAATAGTTCAGTTCAGGAAAGAATGATTTTGAGGCACTGCTTGCTTCCTTGTTGCCTGGCACAGCTGGAGTCAGCTGATAGTTCAGATGTTTCTCAGGAGCAATGTTAGTGTTTTGCCTGGGTGGCCAAAGAAAGACACTGGTCACATCATTCAATCACAAGGCTAACATCTTAATTCAAAAAGTCATCCTATTTCCAAATGCACTTGCTTCCTCTGTTTACCTCTTTTCTTTGAACTTGACTTCGATGTCTCAGCAGTTTCAATGAAGACCCTGCTACCAACATAAACTTGTTCATCACTTTTATGCTCCCAGTGAATGATGTGGATAAGATAATGAAGAAAGACCATAGAGGCCCAAATTCTGCCTTCAGTCATGTTTGCAAGCTGGCAGTAGTTATATAGCTCACTGCTCATGGCTGTAAAGTGTATTCACTCTGCTATTATTTTTCCATAAATTATTTGTGATCAGGTTGCTTGTTTTTTTGTTACAGTCCCTCTTGATGCGTGACATTTCTACAAGGCATTTTTCCAATCCATCTGGGTATCAGAACAATTGATGATTTTAAACTTTTTCTTCTAGCAGAGCCTTCACTTCTCAAACTGCACGGATCTGCATTCACAGCCCGGCTTGACTGACACCCGAGCAAATTTCACTTCATGGGGAAACAACTTTTACCACTTGAGTAAATCACTACTCATGGCTACATCTCCAAGACACTCTCTGTCACACATCTGTCAGAGGAGCCCTCGCAAACGGCAAAGAAGAAAGTTTCAGGAAGCTCCCCCCAGGCGGGTTTCTACACTAACCATAGAGACCACCCTGCGTCTCCCAGTTCCTGCTCACCCAGCTGCGAGCCCTCCCGATAAAGTCAGCCCCGAGAGAGTGTTGAAAGGGCCCCGCAGGTGTGCTTTCCTGCCTCCCCTATCTCTCCCCGCCACCACCTCTCGTGTGCCATCAG